GAAGGTAAATGGACATGGCTGTGTTTTCTGTGCCAACAAAATTTTATTTATAAAAACAGCAGGCCACAGGCTGAATTAGGCCAGAAGTTCATACTTTGATCTAAAAAATAACCATTTTTACATTTTCATGTATATGTCTTCAGATCTTCATATATATATCATGTACATTTGTATACATGTCTTCATATACATATGACTTGAACCACACTTGCTCTTCTGAGTGCCCACCTTTTTTTTTTAACCATATCTGTTATCATATCTAAAAGAAAAAAATCGTATATCCCAAGGGGCTGGGGTTGTGGCTCAGTGGTAGAGCACTTGCCTAGCATGCGTGAGGCACTGGGTTCGATCCCTGGCACCACGTAAAAATAAACAAATAAAGGTATTGTGTCCATCTACAACTAAAAGCATATTTTTTTTAAAAAAAAAACTTGCTAAAAAAATCCTATTCCCCAAATACTGAAGAACAATATAAATTTTATCTACTGTTTTCAAGGGTCAATGGAGGAGTGTGTCCATTCACACTACTCAGGTAAAGCTTCTAAAAGTCCCATTTGCTTGTCTCTGGTTCAGCCCACCCCTTTCCTCACCATCCAGCAGGCAGTAGACATTCATCTCTCCCTTTTACCTTCTTCTCTCAGCATCTACACCACTTTTCATCTCTTATTGAACCCCAGCTCTAAAAATGCCTTCAGTTCACACATCCCAATCACTCAGTAAAACAAGAACCCAGAAACTCCAGGGTCAGCAAGGGAAAATCCCAAGCCCTAGCCATAGGCAAATCACCTTATTATTTCTGCAGCACATTCAAGGAGGGTATAAACTCATTCGGTCCCAAATTACCTCTGCATCATTGGTTTTGATGATCACGTAGTATTTCATTGTGTGCATGCATTTATCAACATTTTATATAAAAGCCATCAATTTTGAAAAAGATATTACATTCTGAAAACCTTTTATTGACTGAGTCTTTTTCTCACAAACCCATCTAATATAATTATGTTGTTTCAGTCAATATAGTTCATGTGACTGAGAAAGCAATTTTTCAATGTAAATCCTAGAAATGCATTTTATAAGAAAAAGTCACGTTTTTGAAATAAGAAACAAGCTTTCAAAGAAAAAGAAAAGGTCAGAGAGGTTTTGAAGTCAGGTTATCAGAGTCTCAAAATTTTCTTTTCTTCTCTGATTGTAGGCAGGATTCTCCAGAACTTTATGGATCAGTGTCTAACAAATAAAGATGAAAACAATTGTCATTAGCTAGTGTCACAAAGTTAGTATGATAAAAATATGTATTATTTTTCTGTGGCCATTGTAACAAGTTACCATAAATTTGGTGGCTTAAAACAGGAAAAATCTCAAATCAAGGTGTCAAACTCTTGTAGACAGAATCCTTCCTTCCGTACCTCTTTCAGTTCCTCATGACTCTGTGTAATCCTTGTGTGGTGGCTATATCACTTCAATCTCTGCCTCTATCTTCACATGACCTTCGCTGTGTCTATATCTTCTCCTCTTCTGTCTCCTACAAGGACACTAGACATTGGATTTAGGGTCCTTGTGGACAATCTCATCTAAGATCCTTATTAAGTTCATTATATCTGTATAGATCCTTTCCCCAAATAAGGTCATGTTCACAGGTTGCATAGGCTAGGATGTGGACATATCATTTTGAAGCCCACCATTCAATCTGCTACAGTATTCTTTTTAAGAGTTCTGAGAAATCAGGAGAAATAAGTACATCCTCTTCAATCATGAATAAGTGAAATGTGAATCAAAAGTACTAGATGTCATTTCTCCTAGGCATTGATGTATATTTGAATAATCTCTCTAATTTCTGTACAGTTCTATTTATGTTTTTAAGTATTAGCAATGAAATTTGTCAAGACAGATTTAGTGACTTGCTCTTCAACCCCTATTTCCCTTTTAAGCGGTCATCTCGGTCAATGTTAGAACAATCTGAACAGCAGATTAGGGCCGCTTCCAGTTTGGAGGAGCTACTTCGAATAACACATTCTGAGGACTGGAAGCTATGGCGGTGCAGGCTGAAGCTGAAAAGTTTTACCAGTATGGATGCTCGCTCAGCATCCCATCGATCCACCAGGTTCGCGGCAACTTTCTATGACATTGAAACACTCAAAGGTAGGTGTGTGGGTATAGACTCAAATTCTTTTTTTTTTTTTTTTTTTTTTTTTTATCAGTGACAAATGTACCAATTTCTTCCAAAAGTTTGAATAGGACAGACAGATGTTCAAGGGAAAATAAAAGGGTATCTTTAATTGTTTTGGGAGGGGTACTGGGGATTGAACTCGGGGACACTCAACCATTGAGCCACATCCCCAGCCCTATTTTGTATTTTATTTAGAGACAGGGTCTCACTGAGTTGCTTAGGGTCTCGCTAAGTTGCTGAGGCTGGTTTTGAACTCACGATCCTCCTGCTTCAGCCTCCTGAGCCGCTAGGATTACAGGCATGCACCACCGCACATGGTGGTGTCTTTCATTTTACAACTTCGGTATTAATGGAGGATCCTGATATTTAATTTCTTACTTACAGGGAAACATACACAATATGATTTTGAGATCTAAAACCAACACAAAAACATTTCAAAACATAGAGTTAAATTCAACTCAGGGATGTGAGGGCAAAAGAATCCCTCAGAAGACTTTTTTTTTTTTTTTGGTACTGGATTGAATTCTTGGGCACTGAATCACTGAGCCACATCTCCAGCCCCCCTCCCCCCTTTTTTTTTTTTTTTTTTGTATTTTTATTTAGAGACAGGGTCTAACTGTTGCTTAGAGCTTCTCCATTGCTGAGGCTGGTTTTTTACTTGTGATCCTCCTGCCTCAGCCTCCCAAGCTGCTGGGATTACCGGTGTGTGTCACCATGCCAGGCAAGACTTCTTAATAGAAGAAAATCACTGAGTTTACTTTAAAATTAAAACTACCTGGATATTCAACAACAAGGAACATTCTACTGCCATACATGCATAAATATAAACCAATGTATAACTTTTTATATCGTCAACATTCTGTGATTTTTAGTAAAATTGAAAAGTAGATGTCAGAAGCTGAGCTATAATAATGGGTGCTGGTATTGTTGAGAATAATGAAGGCAGAAAAGTCTCAACACAAAATAATCAAAACTTCAGGGTAGAAAATAAAAAAGGCAGCCCTTTGTATCTGCATGTTCCATACCCGTAGATTCAATCAACCGTGGACAGAAAATGTTTGGGAAAAAAATTTGAACCTGTACTGAATATATGAGACTTCTTGTTATCATTCTCTAAATGATGCAGTATAAGAGGTACTTGCATCATATTAGGTATTATAAGAAATCTAGAGATGATTTAGAAGATATGGGAGGATTACATGTAAATACTACCCATTTTATGTAAGGGACTTGGGTACCTGAAGATTTTGGTATCTGTGGAGGACCTGGAACCAATCTTCTGAGGGAGATGAATATAATTTGAAACAAGGGGAATGATGGTTCACCAGTAAGACGTGGATATTCTTTATAAGAAAACCATTGCATGTATATATTGCACTATAGCAAATGAAATGCATGTCCAATAAAGTTGTATGGCCTCTGAGTAGGCATTTAACTTTTTGATGACCTGTCAAAACAACACAAGAAGCTACTTCAGCATTGTTCATCTAGCATTATAGATATGAATAATGTGATTGCCTAGTAAATGATTATATCTATTGCATGGCCTTAACCAGATTACCTGTCTGAAGGCTTGCGGTGCATCTAGACATACTGTTAGAATACAAACATTACCATCAAACCAAAACGAAGTGACTTTAAAAAATCAGACACATTGTCATTTTTTTCTACAGAGGAAATCATAAAAATTAATGAAATTTGTAAATTCCAAGATTTTTCCCTAATCACCTGAGAAATTGTCTAAAGTACTTATAAGTTAGAAGCAGTAAGTAATTTAATCAGTGTGTTAAACCAATTATCATTTGTAATCAACTCTTTTTTATGGATTTCAGGGTAATTCCCTGGCAGTAGTAAAGGCTGGGAGAGTTACCAAAGCCTTACTCAGTAGCATCAGTCATAACTCATACAATTTTGATGCAGATCTTACCTCTCCAACTTTCAAAATTTAGTTGTTTAAGGAGAAAAAGTGAATGGGAAGCCACATTTCAGTAGAATTTCAAACAAAAAAATTTTCATGAACTGATTACTTAGGTTTTTTTCAAAGATTTATGACTAATAGTAGTGAATTAAATAATACCTATATTAAAACTTAATTGAATACTTATCTTTCCTGTTTATAACATTCAGCCTCTTTATATAAATAATCACAATCAGGAGATTTAAAAAGATTTCTCAGAATAGAAGATTTTTATTATGAAAAAAAAGTTGAGGTAAATTGTGTAGTATAAGCAGTGCCCCCCCATCAAATATGTTGTATTTTGCATTTTCAGTAATTGAAGAAGCAAAAATTGGGATTAAGGAGTAGATATGGAAAAAGGACATAGAAAGGATAGTTTAAAGGAATAATTTAGACTAGGGTCAGATTTCAAACAGTAATTTCATGTCTGTATACTTCAAGCACAGGCCCTCTCTAACCCTTCTAGTAGAAATATGTTTACATGTATGAGAATTCAGAAAGATCTGGGGAAAGACCAATACAGAGTTTTAAAGATATGATAAAATTGGAGACATGTTTGTCTATTACTACTTAACACATAATCCCAAAACTTAGCTGCTTAAACATTTTTTAAAAAAATGTATTGGTGCATTATAATTATACATAGTAGTGGGATTTGTTGTTATATTTTCAGACACATCCACATGCAAACACACACACACACACACACACACACACACACACACACACACACACTTTGGTCAATTTCATTACCTAGTATTCTATTCTCCTGGTCCCCTTCCTCTGCTCTGCTCTCTCCCTTTTATTTTCATGAGGCCTCCATTTTTTCCTGTTTTCTCTCTAGCTTCCATATATAAGCGAAAAAATATGACCCTTGACTTCCTGAGTAAACAAACATTTTAATGTCACAGTTTTTGTGCATCCAAAATACAGACATGGACTAGATGGGTTTCTCTGCTTCAGAGTCTCTCTGGAGGCTGTAATCAAGATGTCAGCTTGGACTACAGGCATTTCAGGTTCAACTGGGGCAGGATGTGCTTCCAAGATCATTCAGCAGTTATTTGCAGGACTCAATTCTTCACAGGCTCTTGGACTGAGGGTCCCAGTTACTTTACTGGCTGTTGGCCACAGGCCTTCCTTAGTTTCTTGCCACATGGCTCTTTCCAACATAGCAGCTTGCTTCACAAAAACCTGGAAGCAGAGAAAGATTGAAGAAGAGTGCCAGCAAGAGATACAGACTGCATTCTTTTAAAACTTAATCATGGATGTGACATCTCATCACTCTTACTGTATTTTCTTTATAAGAAGTGAGTCACTAGGTCCTGTCTACACACAAGAGAGGGGATTACACGAGGCCTGGCCACAATAGAGGTGGGCATCACTGAGGGTCAGTTTTTTTGTTTTGTTTTTGTTTTGGGTACCAGGAATTGAACTCAGGGCTCTCAGCCACTGAGCCACACCCCTAGCCATATGTATGTTTGTGTGTGTATATATATATCCTCCTGTCCCAGCCTCCCAAGTCACTGGGATTATAGGCATGGACCACCACACCTGGCTTGGGGGTCAGTTTTGCTTTTTTTAGGGAGGGTACAAGGGATTGAACTCAGGGGCACTAGACCACTAAGCCACATCCCCAACCCTATTTTTTGTTTTATTTAGAGACAGGGTCTCACTGAGTTACTTAGCACCTTATTTTTTCTGAGGCTGGCTTTGAACTCGAGATCCTCCTGCCTCAGCCTTCTGAGCCACTGGGATTACTGGGAGTTAGTTACTGAAGCAACCAACAGAAACATAGTTCTCAATGTTGCCAAAACCTATCCACAGCTGGCTTCAAGTATAAGAAATGCTATCCAACTGTATCCTGTATATCATTTGATAAATAACATTAACATGTTATTTTTTACATGCTTCCATTTACTTATTAACCAGATTCCCCGGATGGGTTCGATGGAATTATGTACGGGACACGGTGTACGTCCCCAAAGGGAAATAAAATATTCTATGAAATGTATAGTATAAATGGGAAAGAACACAGATTAGGGGTTTAATATTTTTTCATAATCTTTGCTTAAAAAACTGACAAAAAATTCCCATGTAGGACAATAAGCAGAAAAGCTACGAAAATGCCTAAGCTCAGCACCCTGGCACGTGTTGGCATGTCAGGGTCATTTCATCTGCTGGCCCCAATGAGCTTTCTCTCTACAGTTATCGATGAGGAGTGGCAAAGAACCCAGTGCAGCCCTAGAGAGACATGCGTGGAGGTTGCCAATGAGCTGGGGAAGAGTACCAACACGTTCTTCAAGCCCCCTTGCGTGAATGTGTTCCGATGTGGTGGCTGCTGCAATGAAGAGAGCCTCATCTGTATGAACACGAGCACCTCTTACGTTTCCAAACAGGTATGGGGACGTTAGCAAGTGAGCCCTCTCCAATGCCCTGATGATGGTCTCATTGGTAGCCATTGATGATCTTGTGGCCAAGTATAATGCTTAATAATCTCATTTAATCCTCCAAACAAATTAAAGGGTATTTTATCCCCCCCTTTTTTTTTTTTGATACTGGGGGCATGTAACCCAGGGACATTTTACCACAGAGCTACATCCCTAGGCCTTTTAAAAGATTTTTTATTTCGAGACAGGGTCTCAAATTGCAGAGGCTGATCTCGAACTTGCAATCATTTTGTCTCAGCCTCCCAAGTTGCTGGGATCACAGGTGTGCATCACAATATCTGGATTCTTATCCTGTTTTATAGATGAAAAAACCAAAGCTCAGAGAGATAAATTACTTATTCAAAGTTACACAGCTGATGAATGTCAGAGATGGAATTCATATATATATATATTTGGTACCAGGGATGGAACCCAGGGGTGTTTAACCACTGAACCATGTCCCCAGCCCTTTTTTTTATACCTTTATTTATATTTATTTATTTTTATGTGGTGCTGAGAATCGAACCCAATGCCTCACACGTGCTAGGCAAGTACTCTGCCACTAAGCTACAACCCCAGTCCTCCAGCCCTTTTTAATATTTTATTTAGAGACTGGTTCTCACTGAGTCACTTAAATGCTCCACTGTTTCTGAGGCTGGCTTTGATCATGATCCTCCTTCCTCAGCCTTCCAAACTGCTGGAATTATAGGCGTATACCACCACGCCTGGCTTCATATTCAGATTTATGGGATTCCATAGCCTGAACTCATTTCTTGTGCTATAATGTCAAGAACCAGAAAATCATCTGGAAGGTACTTGAACAGGATGTTAAAAGCAGAAGCTGCATCATCTTGTGTTAGTTCTGTGTTGCTCAAATGGAGTGACTGACAAGAGTTTAATGAAGGGCATAGACAGGGTTGAAGGAAGACAGAAGAAATGGTAAAGCACCTGGGACCAGCAAAGAGAGAATGTCCAGTACAAAAGAACCTGAAAATCAATTTCTGCAGTCTCCACGAAAGAAATATCCCCCCATCTCCTTTGTATAAGATCCCCTTTGTCCAGCAGATATGGATACTTTCTGTGGCTACCACATTGTTGTAAAATGGAGTAAATGTTGCCTTTGAGAACCGTAGTAACAAATTTAGGAAAACATTACTCAAAAGCTGTAAATAAAACTACATTCCTTCTGTCCTGTGTTGTAAATTCCTCACATGTTAATATATTTATTTGTCTCATTTGCCAATATAATCTCTTTTTTTATGATCTTGCAAAGAAGTAGTACAATAAAATTCTACAGGCATCAAATATATTCATGTTAGGCAATTATCTTATTTGTTCTGTAAATAGGCTAACTTATCATAATTTTGTTCCTTCTACCCTCTAAAATAGGATTGAAACTGGAGAGTTTCTTTTTCAAAATACTTTTACAGAATCTTGGAACTTGTGAAAATCTGATCTCTGCCATTTGACAATTAAAAAAAATGACATAAAGCATGGCTGAGCATCAGCTTTTAGTAAAACAAAGCTTGCATAATGAAAGAGGGCTTAGTTCATGATTATGTTATTCCTCAGAGCATAGCTGAAAATTGTGCAAGAAGATGAAGCTTATGCAAAGTAAACACTCTGAAAACACTCTTGCTTAGTCTCATGCAAGTTTCATTACATGTTAGAGGTCAGAATAAACACAACCTTAATGGATTGTTTCCACTTAATAGATGATGGAGCACTTTATTTTGACTGTTGTACTCAACAAATGATTAAAGAATGTCCTTAAGTGTAAGTGTACAGCAGGTTTTCTTTCCAAACATGCATGTGTGAACATTTAATAGTTTGAAAGAACTACCTCTCACCCCAAAGTTATGGATTATGTGAACAACCTATTAGAAACACAGTGAATAAATGAATACTGTATACAGTAAGAACAACATGGGACGGTGATTGAATGGATGTGCATTAAAATCAAGTTCATTCACCCATCATAGAACTACTCTGGAAAGTTATATAATCTCTTTGGCTATCTGTTCCTTCATCTTAGGATAAGGATAATAAAACCCTACCCCATAATGATTTTAATAAGGGGTAAATAAATTAATATATAAGTACTATAATAGAGCCTGGCATACAGACACAGAAAGAATGATTTACATGTGAGCTATAAGAATTTGGGGGCATTATGATCTTATGTGAGCCATTAATTCACACTGCTATATAACAAACACCCTGAAACTCAATGACTTTGAACATAATGAGTTATTCTCATTTGTATATCTGAGGTCCATTTGGTTTAGGGTGGTCTCTGCTGGGCTTAACTCTGAGCTGCATTGTAAGCCTAGATGTACTTCTTGTGTCTCTCATCTCTTGGACCAGCAAGCCTGCCAGATCTTATTCTTCTTATGCCAAAAGTATAAGCATGAGAAAACAAGCCCCACCAAGCATGCACAGTTCCAGTGTGCACTTGTGTCATGTCTGCTAACATTCCATTGGCCAAAGCAAGTGACGTGGCCAAGTCCAAAGTCAAGAGACAAGAAACTATTTCTTCATCAGAGATAGTATATGAGGGGATAGGTAGTTTGAATAATGATCTAATCCACCAAGATCTTAAATAATCTTCATATTTCAATCTCATTTAATTCTTACAATTTATATTCAAATTTAAAGCAAGTATAGGAAATAATGGTACCATTTCATGAGGGTACAGTGACACCAAAATGTTAAGAGATTTGAAAAAAAAAATGAAGACATTTCATAAAGTTGGATTAGTATCTGATCTCCTGACTCCCAGCCCAGTATCGTACCAGCCCTTATCAATCTTAGTTCCACTCTTAATGTACAACTTTGATGAAGTCACCACTACAAATGACAAAGGCAAAAATGCAGATTATGTATAAATTTAAATAAAAATAATCTATAAAATACAATAATCTACACATTATGATTATCTTTTTCTGCTTTAGCTCTTTGAGATATCGGTACCTTTGACATCAGTGCCTGAATTAGTGCCTGTTAAAGTTGCCAATCATACAGGTTGCAAGTGCTTGCCAACGGCCCCCCGCCACCCATATTCAATTATCAGAAGATCCATCCAGATCCCAGAAGAAGATCGGTAAGACTTTCTTGTACTTATTTATGCTTCTTTGTGCTTTTGCCAAAGCTGTGTATGGAGAATACTTCATTAATTACAGAATTATCATTTTTTTTCTCAAAAGTTTTTTTTAATCTTTCAACTTAAAACTAAAATCTATTGATAGTAACAATTTGGCAAATGTATTTTTTATTAGGTGTTAGATGTGGTAGAACCAATGTGGCTGGTGGTTACGAACTCAACATGGCTACTTGTAGACACCTTGGTTCTTGTCAGTTCTCTGTTCCTATGTGTAAAGTCTAATGCAGTTATAAAACTACTACAGCCTCAAATTTGGCATGTGTCCCAGCATTCCAAAACAAGCATGAAATAAAATTCATTTCACGCTATTTGTATGTTCAAGTCCTGAAATGAAAAAGAAAAAATGGAAAGGATTTCTGGAGTCACTGGGAGGTGGCAAAACTTTCAGCATATGAGTTTTCCAATTTTCTAATGTTTGCCTCAAAGATTACCAAACGGAAAATTTTTCTTTTACGTTAAAACAATTTAAAGATAATTGACTTAGACACTGGTGAATGAAACAAGTTTTCAATATACATGCAAAAGAGTTAATCTGACTTTGAATTTATTGAGAATAACCTTGTGACTCTTTATAAAACAAATTATGACACTGAAATGTTCTG